GAACTGCAGATGCAACGCCAACGTTCTGTCTCAGTTGTTTCTTTTCCTACTATGACACTGAAATCAATCTGTCTGGAAGATTGTGTACATGAACGTCTTTTGCACTATGCTTTCCAGTTCCTCGTAGAACTGCTCCGCTTCCTTATGGTCCATTGCTATGTTGGGCTGTGCACTTCGATTACCTTTAGTAGTCTTTTGCTGCCCATCCGCAGGATTAATACGGCGACACGAGGTTGCATGAGGTCGCAACTGACTTCGAGTGGTACAGCCCTCATGTTCGAGAAGAATGCTATGCGGCCTGTTCGGGACCTCTGCACGGTGAACCGGCCCTCTCCGGTGGGGTGAGACTATGAGGCTTGGCACTGATGAGTGACTCCTATCGTGACCAAGAGCTCACTAAACACCTACCGTCTGGATCTTGACGGGCTGGTTGTCGGATATGCAGGTTACCGCGTTAGCTTGCCAAAAACAAAAACTACTTACGACCAAGTTGAAGGCCAGGACGCGACTGGCACCCGGCAAAAGGATATCGTTAAGATCTTCCTGGCTAGCAACAGTCGTAGAGGCGCTCGTAGACTTCTGCCACACCGACGTGGTACTCGAACAGTGTGGCTGTAGCAGCAGTGATGAAATTTTCCTCGGGAAAGTGTACCAGGATTTGGTGTACGATGGAAAAGCTGAAGTTTCTAGGCAAATCGTTACACCACAAGTTCCAATGACTCGCCAAACAGAGCTCACTGCGTTTTCCCTTTTTGGAGGATTGCACCATACTTTTTCTCGTGCTCGATTTTCTGGAAGTGCTTTTGTCCACATGCCATCTGATTTTATTCCGCGTCGCTGCCCTTTCTGTCGTAAACCCTGTCGTCTCGCCAACTCGATGATGATGAACGCCCTGAGGAAAATCTGAGTTTTCACCACAGCGACCGCCAAGTCGTCGCTTAATTATCTACGAGAAGATATTTGTCGCTGTTCAGCGTCTGGATCGATTTTAGCAGGAAATTAATCCCTTTTTGCACCTGAATACACTTTTACTTAAATGGTTATTAGATCACGCAAAATGCTTTGCCATGGCCGGCTTCGCTTCGGGACGGAAGCATCTGCGCAGCGCTGAAATTAGATAGTATCCTATGGCTGAGCAGAAAACGTGCCCACG